TTAACATTGTGCCTCTATTTTGTTTGGGTTTTGTAGTGATTTTGCCAGGTGACTTCTTCAAATGTTATTAATGTCTAGGAATGCATGGATCGCTATTACATTTTTCTTTCATATATCGGATGCATAAAACTCAAATTCTTTTTCTTCTATTTATAAAGCAATATTGGCAATTGCCTAGAGTGAGAGAAAAAGAGAGATCAGCATGGGTCATTTTTGGTAGAGTCTCAGCATTAGTTAGGAACAAATGATCTTCCCTGTCCAGAAACAATCTTATTTTCCCACTAGCTTTTGTTTTTCTTCTAATGCTCAGCATGAAGTTTTAAATGCATAACTGAAATGGGTGGGCCACATAACATAATTGTACAGGACCAGCTTATTTCAATTTTGCTTCTTGGGGTTATTAGATGGTTATCTTAATAGCTTAAAACTATTAAAATAACCCTAAAACTAAAGGTAAAACATCTATTGCTGATTCTTGATTGCTTTTAATACTAATAAAACTTTTGAGGGAATTCTATGGGTATAATAATCCTTGATTTACAACCACAATTGAGCCCAAAATTTTTGTTGCTAAGCAAGATAGTTGTTAAGAGAGTTTCCCCTCATTTTATTATTTTTCTTGCCATTGTTGTTTAGTGAATCACTATAGTTGTTCAATTAGTAAAATGGTTGTTAAGTGAATTTAGCTTTCCCATTGCCTTTGCTTGTCAGAAGGTTGCAAAAGGGGTCACATGTCCCTTGAACATTGCCACCATCATAAATACATGCCAGTTGCCAAGCATTCAAATTTCAATCATGTGACCATGGGGATGTTGCAATGGTTGTTAAGTATGAAAAAACAATCATAACTCACTTTTTTCAATGCCATTGTAACTTTGAATAATGAATGATTGTAAGTCAATGATTTCACATGTTGTGTAAACAAAGCTACTGCCGGCAGTAACAGGTGCCTTGGGTGCAATACAAAAACAACTGGAACATCACTTGAATACCACTGGCATTGATAAAATCACTAATCAGTCAAGTGCAAAAGGAGTTTTACTTGGAACAGATTACATCCTGCGATAACACCAACAAAGAATAACACCTGCCTATCCCAGGTTCTTGGAAAGGACGCAATAGCTATACAAAAATGCCAAATCCTTCTAACATATCTGGCTCACTATATGATCAACAAGAATAAGGACAACAATAATAGATAACTATGGATATCTAGAAAGCAAGGACCTGCTGCCTGTAGAACAGAAAGGGTGCTGCAAAAATTCAAGAGGAACCAAAGTCCAACTGATTATTTGTAAACTGGTTTTGAAGAATTCAAAGAAAAGATTAACATATTTTTTCATGAACTGGATTGATTCTCAGAAAGCATTTAATTCTGTTCCACACAGCTGGGTTGAGAAATGCTTAGTCAATTTTTGGAATTAACAGCAATATCCAGAAATCCCTAAAGACTTCCATGAAGCTATAACAAACTAAGCTGATGGCCTGATGAGAAATCTTACACTGTCATCTCTATTATTTGTACTTTTGATGGCACCACTAACAAGTGTTTTGAAAAAAACAAATTGTGGCTACGAACTGGCTTAAAAAGGGTTGAAAATTTTCCATTTCTTCTATATGGATGATTTAAATCTGTTTGGGAAAACAAAAGCTGAATTGATCTCACTGCTGAGGAGTTTAGCAGAAACATTGAGATGCAATTTGGCATTGACAAATGTGCAACAATCGCTGTTAAGACAGGAAAAATTGTTGAAGATGATGGATTTGAATCTGATAATGAAGAGCTGATAAAAGCAGTAACACCAGAAGAGGAATACAAGTACTTAGGAATTTTGGAAGCTTCTGACCTATTGCACAATCAAGTCAAGGAAGTTACTTCAACAAAATACATAAAGCGAGTTTGGAAAATCTTGACATCAAAGCTGAATTTAGGAATAAAGGCACTTAACACTTGGGCAGTGCCTGTAACATGATACTCAGCTGAAATAATTGATTAGACTCAGGTAGAATTTGATAACTTGGATCGAAAGACAAGAAACCTGGTGGCTCAGCAGACTGATAGCATTGTGATTAACACCAGCTGTCTGCAATTACTGTAAGTTCGAATCTCACCAGGCTCAAGGTTGACTCAGCCTTCCATCCTTTCTAAGGTAGGTAAAATGAGGACCCAGTTTGTGGGGGCAATAAGCTGACTTTGTATAAATATACAAAAGTATGAAGGCTTTTGCTTAACGCATTGCAATCCGCCCTGAGTCTCTGGAGAAGAGCGGCATATAAATCAAATTAAAAAAAAAAAAAACACAACACACCATGCTCTGCACCCAAAAAGTGATGTTGATTGAGTTCACAGGTTTCAAATGCTCTTGGTCTGAAAATGGGCAGCTAAGCAAGATCTTAGTCAAAAAAATGCCAGCTTCATTTTTTTTCTCCCTCCTGAATTTTTAAAAATCTTAAATTCTGTTCATGAAGAAATTTGATAAAAGTTGGTAGATTCTTGTGAAAACCTGAACAAAATAAGATGATTATTCTTAACCAACCACTTTGTTTCTTGCAATCTTCACATTTCCTTCTAGTCACTTAAGTGCTAAATCTCAGGAGAAAAATGGTTGATATATCAGTGTTTTCTATTTGATGCATTTTAGATAGATAAAACATCTAGAAGGCTCCAAGGTTCAGGGAGACAGGATGTGTGTCTAAATGTATTATGTGGTGTGCAAACTGTCATTTCATTCCCTGCAGCTACCAGTTTACATTGAAAACACAGAAAAATTGGGACTTTTCAGTTTCCATATATTTCACCAGTGGTTTACCATTGATTCTATTTTTAAATAACACTGTCTTTTACAAGAAGTCTGATTTCTGAGTTTTGTTGAATCAATAGATGAAATGGGCTCAGTAGACTCTTTCAGAATACTACAGTTAGGAGAAGGCAATATTATTTGGTCTTCACATCCATATAAATAGATGAATAGACAAAAATATCAAGAACAAGCAGCAAAGCTGGAGCTTGCAAATGACCCCTTGCTGATTGAAGACCTCGGCAGGTGTTCAGTACTACTGACCAGTAATGCTAGTTTATTACAGATTTACCAATTTCATACAGATTAACCAACACAGGAATAAAGAAACAGGCAAACATGAAGAAGAAACTTCAACCTGCAATTCACTTTTAAAAGCCTCACTAGAAACTTTGAATGCAACATCAAAGAGACAAACGTAAATGATCAGACATTGTTGATTCTGAGAGCTTCAAAGGGGCTCTGTGAGGCTTTTGCCATTTTCAGCACCTTTCACTAGAAAAGAGCTGATGCACTGTGAAAATTGATGTCTTTGTCCGGGAATCTTAACAAATATATGCACAACTGACACTCCCTCCCACCCACCGCCCACCCCAGCCCTGTTACTGCATTTGTTCTTTGACCTTGAAGAACACTTCCGAGTGTTAATCAGAAGGTCTTTTCAGCTGCAAGGAGATAGATTGAAATTGCATTTACCAGAACCACACATGATAATGCATCTCAGAGTAAAATGGACTTGCAGCGACTCTGAGGCTTTGACTGCTATCTCTGTAAAAGAAATGGTTAAGGATCCTGTTGGTTTTCTGGAAATCCAACAAAGAAGTAATATTCTGATGATAGAGGAATACTGAGAAAAGATAAAAAGGGTAAGGAGAGTACAACCCTTCCAGGAAAAAACAAAACAAAACTGCAGCTCTAACCACGCTTAACCTGGAAAAAAAGCCTTAGACACAGAGTTTGCTTTGCTTTCAAAAAGAATGTCCTCAGATTCTGCATTGTATGGATAGGTTGTAGGCTAACAAAATGCTCAGAGCAACTTCCAGGTTCATATTCAGAGTACAGGTAGTCCTCAACTTACAACAGTTCATTTAGTGACCATTCAAAGTTACAACAGCACTGAAAAAACTGAGTTATGATCGTTTTTCACACTTATGACCAATGGTGGGCTGCAACTGGTTGAACAACCGTTCTGTGGGCATGCACTTTGCGCATGCACGCAGGCTTCATGTGCACACACACCTAACACGCTTGCGTGTACCATTCAAAATACAGCAATTTGAAGCTCAGCTGCTTACCTTCTAAGGCAGCCCTGGTAAGTAGAACAATGGAGGTGCGGAAATCAGCTGTGCCGCGCGAATCAGCTGAGCCAGAAAGAAGGAAATATAGGGCAGGGTGGGTGGAGTCATCTGATCATCAGAACTACCGGTTTGCCCAAACTGGCAGCAGCCCACCACTGCTTATGACCATTGCTTGGTCAGATGCTTTGCAACTAATTTATATTTATGATGGTTGCAGTGTCCTGGGGTTATGTGATTATCTTCTGCGATCTTCTGACAAGTCCAGTGGGGAAGCCAGATTCACTTAACAGCCATATCACTAACTTAACAACTTCAGTGAATCACTTAACAACTCTGGCAAGAAAAGTTGTAAAATTCACTTAACAAATGTCTTACTTAGCAACAGACTTTTGGGGCTCAATTGTGGTCAGAAATCTAGGATTACCTGTAGTTGATTCAATTCTCCTCTTTATTGAGGATAGGGAAGAAAATTTTTTGGCTCATATCTGAATGTGAACTTATCCCATTTTCTACTTTTCAACCAATATTCAACTAAAATGTAGTTAATGTTTAAAACTTGCTGTTTTCTGAATGCTGCGAAGTAATTGAGTAGTGTGACACAATTGGTAGGTTGGAGTGGGAGTGGTATTAAAAGCTGTGCCAGAATATTTGATAGTGACAGTGCTATTGTAAATTATTAATTGTGTAATGTCTAACTCTCAACAACTCTGAGTGGTTCACAAGTAAAAACAATAAAGATAAATATATATATATAATAAGAGACAAAAATAAAAAAAAATGTGGCAATAATGAGAGAAAAGCAAACACACCCAATCCCAAGCTAGGATGGCGGGCTAGAGAATTCTGGGAATTGAAGTCCACGCATCTTAAAGTTGGGAAGGTTGAGAACCACAAAGCTAGTGGATAATTACAAATCATCTTCTATTTTTCATTTGGAAACCATTAATCAGGTCAGCTCATTTCAGAATCTAAAAAAATCAAATTCTGCACAATATCTGCATCTTAACAGCTCCACAGCCATAAGAGCTCTTATCTAGCAACAAGTTATAGTCCAACTGAAAGTGTTGTTAATACCCCTCCTCTCTTCTGCTCCTTGGAATTCCTTCCCTATTTCCGGTTTCTTGTTACAACTGTTAGGAGAAACTGCTGCCATCTGGACTGGCCCTTATTCATCAGCCTGGATTCTGTATCATAAATGTTACATCTTCTAGAGAAGAGGAGGAAAGATGCCAGAGGTTAATGTTTTTGTAAAGAGTGAATTAGTAGATATGTTGTTAAATCTAACCACATACAATTAAGCTAACATTCAGTTATATTCACCCCTGCCTGCCTAAGCAGCATGTTTGCCTCAATGCTCAGGATACAAAATAATGCCTCCATTAATCTTCTCCAAAGAGGCAAAGACGGGAATTGTCTCTTTCCCAGTATCTCAGCAGAGTGAAAACTAATCTTCCCCATTAATAACCCAACAGAGTGTAAACCAACCGACAAAACAAATGTGGAGCAATTGTACAAAACAAAGTCAGACATGCCTGTAAGGAGGATGGGAACAGGCAGTCAATTTAAATGCCTCTTTAGAGTCACTTTCTGGTATTAGTGATATCTTGAAATAAAAACAAAAAGTTCCTTTGAAATACAGTTTTGTCTTTCTTTTTGCTTGTATGTGCAGCATTGCAGACTGAAGTTGCTTTACTAGCAGGCTGCAAGTTTTTGTGACAATCTATAGCATGGGTGTCAAATTCGTGGCATCACGTGACATTTCACGGCGGTTTCCCCTTAGCGGAGCTGGGTGGGCGTGGCCTGTGTGTGACGCATCTGGCTTGCGGGCCGCCAGTTTGACACCCCTGAATAGAGAAGGAAAACAGTAGACTGAATTGTGGACCAATATAATTGAAATTATCTGGATGAATGGGTCAGGGAGAATATCTGTATAAATAATTTGGCTGCCAATAGTAAAGTATCGTTACAATTCGGCATTCTTACACTTATCTTTGTCTTTTAATTATCTTTCCACCTAGCTCATCATAGTTACTAATACAGGCCTTCATGATCAACTTTAATATAGTTCTGATCACATGGGAAATAAATGGGATGAGTTTTATTCTTAGGCAGCTTTCTTAAAAGTATTTGACTATTCATTGTTGGAAGTACGGTACTGATTGTTAGCAGCTTTTGGACTGATCTATCAGATCTTTTGGTAAACTAACCACTGATCACAAATAAACCTGCCTGCCCTTTTAGATTGTAGGCCATTTTTTTATTAATTTGGCTGGCCACACCAGGAGCTTCGGTGACTAAATTATGGAGTGTAAATGTTTCTAAAATAATACATTTAAAAATACATTGCCAAGAGGAGGAAAAAGGATTCCAAGGAATTGCTAACATTTCTACTAATCTTTTATTTATTTATTTATTTATTAATTTTATTAAATTTCTATACCACCCTTCTCCCGAAGGACTCAGGGCGGTGAACAGCCAGAAGATAAAACACAGGAAATACAAAATCTAAAATAAATTAAAACAAATTAAATAATTTAGGCTGAATTTTAAAATACCCCATAATTTTAAGGAGACCTGGACAAACATTCCAGTATGCTTGTGCCTTCTGGAAACTAGAATGTATTATTTTTTCCAACTCTGTTCCTTACTTAATCCCCCCCCCCCCCGGGCATCTTTATATACTACCAGTATTACCTGGTTTGAGGCCTGATTTTACAGCATGAAAAGCTCACATTTTAAAGCATTCCCTCTTCACAAAATATGGGTGGGCGTGGCCTGCGTGTGACGCATCTGGCCTGTGGACCGCCAGTTTGACACCCCTGAATAGAGAAGGAAAATATATATATATATTTTTAATAGAAACTCATTCAAGATAATATGTTCATTCTGAGGATACTGGGATTGACAGCCCACCTTTCAAGGCAGGAAGAATGCAGCATATGAGAAGATGGATGATGGTCCTGAGGCTGAGCGGGGTGGTTACCATGGGGACCATATTTCTGAATGGCAGCTCGGATTGTTTGGCTGTCTCACTTCATTTCCTTTTACCTCCTTGACATCTTTTGGGGGCTATATTCTTCATCAGTGCCAACAAACAGAGCCTGGAGGCTCCTGTAACTGAATCTGCAAAATGCAGCATGTCAGAAACAGTGCCTTTTAAAAGGCCAGACTGGGACTGATGGGAAAGAACAAGGTGTTCTGCTTAGGGGCATTGGTGTTCCAATGGGGGACATCAATCTATTATATTGATTAGAGCTTTAGTGCTGCCAAGCTGATGAAAGAGGAAGCATGAAGAAGAGAAGGGGAAATGCAGCTGGACAGATGGGCAAGGAGAAGGCTGTCTGATGGAGGAAAAGGAAAAAGGAGCTAAGGTTACAAATCATCATGTTTCTATGAAAATGGCAAAAGTCCCCAGTGCATGCAACACAAAATCAATTCTGTTTTGCTGATATAATCCAGTTTCAAGGTAATTTCTCCAGAAAATGATCATAAGTTAGGGTTGGATAGATGATGGGCGAAGCAACATTTTCTAAATGATAGATTATTATTCATAATAATCATCTTTGTACAGATGATTTATATAGTCTCAAATCTTGGAACAAGAGATTTACCCTCAGTCTTAAATACAATTGCATTCAGATAACCAGTAGCAATTTTGATGCAATCTTAACTTCTCTGGGGAATAAAATGTTGAGAAAGGCCTGAATGAAAAATGTTTATGTTCTTAAAATCTAAATGGATCTAGCCTATTGGTTTAACAGATTATGTGTGGGATAAGAGTAGGAAAAACCATATTATATCCACCTTTGGTTATGGAGCCTGAGTAATCTGAGGCTGATCATTCTCTTTTAATCACAGATAACATAAATTACCTTTATTGTGTGGAAACTTTTTGCTGCTCTACTCAAAAATGATTCCAAGAGAGCATCTTAATCAAGCTTCTTAATTTAGAACTGGGGTCCTAAATTAAATATACTTAATTTATACTTTGATGAATCAAGGATCTTTTTCCTCATTCCAAACTGGCGTGTGAAAGACGTGTGAAAGCTGGATGGAGTCTATGGTAACTTTTATTTCAACACATGTTGAAAATGAACTTGAAACTCTGGGAACTTTTTGTTAGGAATCATGAGGAACTGAAAGAATAGCAAACGAATATTGAAATACTGCTGATTGATGCCTTCCAGTTTCCCTGGTCCAATTCAGCATATCTCCACTAGATAAATAAACAGAGAGAGATGGCATCTTGCTACCTAGTATTGTGTCAACTTGCATGGGCCCCAAAAGCAAATGTAGAAACTAAATACAAGGGAAAATTCCAAGAATAATCAATTGAGAAAAACATAAAAGCTAATAGAAAACCTGAGTCAAATCTATTTATTAAAAACATAAATTGTGATTTAGAGAATTTCCTCTTCCTCCAGAGGCAATCTCATTCTGCTAAAAAAAAAAAGAAGAAAGAATGAAAAATGAGTGTTAGTTTGTTTTATGAATGTGAGGAAATCCCACTTCAAGAGATTCAGACATTGTATGAATTAAAGGAAAGTGACTGTGACCTGTCCCTCCAGGTAATGTAAAGATAAATGAAGCCTGAAAAAGTTAATGTTAGAGGAGGAAATTCATCTCTGGTTTAGGCTTTTCAGAGACACTCCATTTTTTTTAAAAAAATTGATTTATATGCCGCCCTTCTCCGGAGACTCAGGGTGGCTTACAATGCGTTAAGCAATAGCCTTCATACTTTTGTATATTTATACAAAGTCAGCTTATTGCCCCCACAAACTGGGTCCTCAATTTACCTACCTTAGAAAGGATGGAAGGCTGAGTCAACCTTGAGCCTGGTGAGATTCGAACTTACAGTAATTGCAGACAGCTGGTGTTAATCACAATGCTATCAGTCTGCTGAGCCACCAAATTTATAAAGATAAATTTTGTCTTTATCTTGAGAGAATTGTAACTTTTCCTCCGTGGCTGCCTGGAAGGGAATAAAGGAAAACCAGAAACGGGTGGAATTGGATCAGCCAAGCTAACTACAGTGTAATTTATCATTTATTTTATGAGAAATTGGCTTACATGAACTTAGTCTGAAGCAGTGGTGGGTTGCTCCCGTTTCAGTCCGTTTCTTGCAAACCGGTAGTAATAGCAGCAGGAGGCTCCGCATACTCGCTTGACATCATCATGGACATCTGCACAAGCGTGCAAGCGAAGCGAGAGCATGTGAATGCTCCTGTTGAGAACCGATAGTAAAGGTAAGTGGAACCCACCCCTGGTCTAGAGGGTGGGCTGGGTTTATGAATGAACCTATTGCTGAGGGCGTACTTAAACAATCATAATAATTTATATTAATCTCTAGTGAAAACAATTGTTTATTTCCTTGTATTCTACGGCTCTTGTGATAAAGATTTAAACATCTTAATTAACCAAGGCTTATCAATTTGGGAAGACATCTACATTTTAGCACATGCCTTCCCACTAGGTCAGGGTAGTGATAGAAGAGAATTTCAATTTTTCTCCTCCCGGGCAAGTCAGTGACAGAGGGGATTTGTCTGGTTGCTGATGGAGTAAAGCTAGTTGACTTTCCCTAGCTTTGGATAAAATACAGTAGAACTCGAAAAGGAGAGTTTGAAGACCTCTCATAGGAAGTAATGAGGCCCAGGTGTGACCATATGTGTGGGCATCCCATTATATTTTCTCTATTTTGGGGCAAACTTGCCTTCATTTTATTTTTAATGATTTTTTTAAAGTAAAATTGTTTACTACCTAGTGATTTCTTTAGAATTATACCCAGAGGTGATATTCAATAGGTTGTGACCAGTTCTGGAGAACCGGTAATGGAAATTTTGAGTAATTTCGGAGAACTGATAAATACCACCTCTGACTGGCCCCTCCTCCATCTATTCTCTGCCTCCCGAGTCCCAGCTGATTAGGAGGAAATGGGGATTTTGCAGTAACCTTCCCCTGGAGTGGGGAGGGAATGGAGATTTTACAGTATCCTTCTTCTGGAGTGGGGAGGGAATGGAGTTTTTAGAGTATCCTTCTTCTGGAGTGGGGAGGGAATGGAGTTTTTACAGTATCCTTCTCCTGCCATACCCACCAAGCCATGTCCACCAAGCCATGCCATGCCACGGCCACAGAACTGGTAGTAAAAAAATTTGAATCCCACCACTGATTATACCTGTCTAGATTTATTTATTTTTTTACAAAAGCAAAGTTAATTGGCATGGGGCAATAGAAATGCTCTGTGCAATCTGAAAGGGGACTACTTTGGAGGATAAAGAGCATCATCATCAATTTACCTTCTGATTAACCATTTTTCTTCAACCTACTATTTATTTATTTATTTATTTATTTATTTATTTATTTATTTATTTATTTATTTATTTAATTTGTATACCGCCCTACTCCCGAAGGACTCAGGGCGGTGAACAGCCAGATAAAACACATATAATACAAATGTTAAAAAGCATTAAAATACAATTAAATAATTTGGCCCAAAAAATGAAATTTAAAACACCCCAAATTCTTAAGACAAATTTAAAATTTAAAATTTTTTAAAAGTTTAAAAGTTTAAAAGAGAGGTTAGGCCAGACTACTAGACTCCCCATAGCCATCCTTTTGTGACTAGACAGCTTCCTTGTGACAACCATGTTGTGAGACTACATAACATGTTCTCAACATTCCAAATGTGCTGGCAACTAGATCAAAATATTTGGAGATCGATGCTCTCCTCCACATCTACAGTTCTGAAAAGCTCAAGATTGTTCTGAAATGGATACTTTCTGTCCACCCCAGTGAAATATTCAGCAAAATATTGGTCTGGTTTGTTCAGAATGTTCTAAACACTACTTCTCCGGAGAAGAGAAAACAATGACAAATAATAAAAAAAAAAGACCGGCATCATTTGACCACAAATTTGCCAGTGATAAAGGGCAAAAAGATTGGTGCTAGGTAAGAGCATGGTAATTATTTTTGTAAAATCATATCCATTATTCTGTGTTTGTAGCTGAAGTCTGCAAGACTCTCTAGACTCCTTAGTGATAAATAGAAGAAAGATGAGGAGCTACAGGCAAGATTAAATTAAATTACCAACAGAACAAGAAGATGTTGTTGAGCCTGTAAAAGCTCATCTGAGTTACAAACAAGGTGAGGGCTTTTGAATGTCCTTATTACCAAGGAAGAGACCTTATGTTCCTGTCCCTGTAAAAAAGTAATATACCATTTTATAGACAATTGAAGATGTAGTGGTTTTTTCATATAACTTTTTGTAATCTACATGCATAGGATTGCATGTTTCTTTTCTACCCTGCTAAAATGACCTGTCTAGATCGTTATTCCAAATGCCATTTTTGCAGATCCCTTGCAAGATTAGGCACTAAAGTTATTTAGCTTTAGAAAACTGAATGTATTCTGGTTTGTTAATGGACAGAAATGGGTAGCAAAGAGGTTCTCATGTGGGAGTCACTCAGAGCAGCTGCAAAGCAATCAGGCTTGGGTGGAAGTCAAATTTGCCCTTACCAGAAATTGCCTGAAAGATGCAATACAGGCTACAGATGGCAGTTAATTGACTAGCTGCTTCTTCAACAGCTCATTTCTATTCCAACAACTTGCTTATGAAAGTTATTGGGTCACCCACTCACTACATGCTGCTCCAGTTCTACCTTTTGACACTTGATTTCTCACCTGTTTTTGAAGACAAGGCTATGGAAACTTGCTGAGTATATAAAATCAAACCCATGAAAGGAAATAATGATTACTTCTGACCCTGAGGTTTCAGACTATGCAAACTCACGCTTCTGACCTTGGACAATTATTTTCTTCCTTTAGACATACAGTAACGTTTCTTTAGTTGTGAAGCACACTATTCCCATTTCTCTTCTTCCTCCATCTTTTCCATCTATTGCTATGTTTCAAATTAAGGATGGATAACGTGAACTTCTAGAGTTCTTTGTGACCTCTAGAGCAGGGATCTCCAACTC